TTTTCTTTTTGCTTATGTGGTGCTGAGGAATGGAACCCAGGGCCTCAGGCATGCAAGGCAAGCGCTCTACCACTGAGCCACCTTCCCAGCCCCTCACGCCCTACTACCACCACCAACAACAACAACAAAAAGAAGAGTCTCACAGATTTTACTGTCCGGACTGGCTTTGAACCACAATCCTCAGCCTCCTGAGGATTACAGGTGTGTGCCATCAGTACCTGACTCTGAGAGACTTTTATCTTCAATTAACTAGCAGAAACAAGCCAGAGTAGGAGTGTGGTTCAAGTGGAACAGCACCAGCCTTGAGTAAAAAAACTAAGTGAGGGGCTGGAAGTGGGTGCTATGGCTCAAGTGGTAGAGCGCTAGCCTTGAGCTGAAGAGCTCAGAACAGCGCCCTGGCCCAGAGTTCAAGCTCCACGACCAGCAAAAAAAAAAGCTAAGTGAGAGAGCATGGAACCCTGAGTTTAAGCCCTAGTATTGGCACAAAAATAAATAAAAAGAATTCAGGTCCAAATCTGGAATCAAACATGAGACTGAACCTAATTATGAGAAGCAGACATCAGAAGAAAACCTAGAAGACAGAACTTGGAGGGCTAGCTATAGGAGTGGGGTACTATACAAAGATCCTGAAGGAGCAGGGCGCCGGTGGCTCATGCCTGTAATCCTAGCTACTCAGGAGGCTGAGATCTGAGAATCGAGGTTCAAAGCCAGCCAGGGCAGGAAAGACCGTGAGACTCCTATCTCCAATAAACCACTAGAAAACCGGAAGTGGCACTGTAGCTCAAGTGGTAGAGCGCTCGCCTTGAGCTGAAGAGCTGAGGGACAGCGCCCAGGCCCAGAGTTCAGGCCCCATGACCGACAAAAAAAAAAACAACAACAAAGATCCTGAAGGGCAGTAGCAATTAGGGTTTTCCTGTCAGTCCTCTGTGTCTTTGCCTAGATGCTGACCGTGAAACTCTGAAGGCCACAAAGGTATGGAAACTGGCAGAGGTCCTGGTGAATGAGAAGCAGCAGTGCCAGGATGCCAAGAGTCAGCAGAAGGAGCAGCTGGTGCTTCTGGAGAAGAAGAGTGCCACCTACTCCCAGGTTTGGGAGGACCACTGGCTGCTTCCTTCCTCTGACCCCAGGGCCACCTGTAGGGAAGCTAAGGGGTCTGATTTGCTCTCCTTCCTCCTGTGTTTTCTTTGGCCTCTTTGTCTTTCCTCTGGGGGATCAGGTGCTTCTACGCTGCCTCACCTTGCTGCAGAGGCTTCTTCAGGAGCACCGTCTGAAAACTCAGTCTGCGCTCCACCGCATCAACGCCCAGTACCTGGAAGTCAAATGCAGTGCCATGATCCTTAAGCTGAGGTGAGCTATGAGCCCTTCGGATCCCACAGATTCTGTCTCACCCCTCCCCCAACTCTTTCCATCATGCCTAGCACCTTGTAAATAGATACTCAGTAAATGGCACACAGTAATGTTAGCCTTTAGATTACCTGAAAGCTTTTAGCATTCTTGAGTCTTTTAGTTTCTGCTTTTTGAAATAGTTATTTATTTTTTGTTTTGTTTTAGTGCTGGTCCTAGGGCTTGAACTCAGGGCCAAGGTGCTGTCCTTGAGCTTTTGTGCTCTGAGCTTTTGTGCTCAAGGCGAGAGCTCTACCACTTGAACCACAGTTCCACTTTCAGCTTTTTGATAGGTAATTGGAGATAAGAGTCTCATGAACTTCTCTGTCTGAGCTGGCTTTGAATCACCATCCTCAAATTTCAGCCCCCTGAGTAGCTAGGCTCATAGATGTGAGCCACAGGCTTGAAATAGGTAGTTTCCTGGGAGATCCATTACTCAAGGATTCAGAGTGACCTTGATTACTCCATCCCTGAAGAGTCTATACTCTGCCCATGGACAAGTACTGTGTCCATTACTCACTCTGCTTCAGTCAATGATCTTTCACATGACCCTTTTTTCTTTCCTCTGCCAGGATGGAGGAACTAAAGATTTTGTCTGATACTTACACTGCTGAGAAAGTAGAAGTTCATCGTCTCATTAGGTAAGATCTCCCAAGAGCCTAGTATAGCTGTCACAGCTGGTTTGCACACCCTCTAGACTTGTTCATCATAATATGTTCCCATTCTGTTTATTTTCTGAGGGCCAACATCTTTATTTATTTAACATGCCAGTACTAGGGCTTGAACTCTGGGCCTGGGTACTGTCCTTTAGCTTTCTTTTTGGCTCAAGGCTGGTTCTCTCCCACTTAAGCCACTTTTTTTTTTTGGTGGTCATGGGGCTTGAACTCTGGGCCTGAGTGCTGTCCCTCAGCTCTTCAGTTCAAGGTGAGCGCTCTACCACTTGAGCTACAGCACCACTTCCGGTTTTCTGGTGGTTTATTGGAGATAAGAGTTTCACAGACTTTCCTGCCAGAGCTGGCTTGAACCACGATCCTCAGATCTCAGCCTCCTCAGTAGCTAGGATTACAGCGTGAGACACCAGTGCCTGGCCAGTTCCACTTTTTGCTTTTTTTTTTTTTTTTT